CCCCAAAACCCCAAAACCCCAAAACCCCAAAACCCCAAAACCCCAAAACCCCGTGGACTTTAGGGGATGTTGAGAATATAAGTTATTGTGAAAGTTGTGGGGAATGTGTTTAAAGATCAATTAGAATATTATTGAACCCATTCAAGTTCAGAATTTTTGTAATTTTATCTTGTTCAATCTCTCAACTCTTAAAACTGATTCTTTCAAGACTTGTCATCAAATCTGAAGAAGATGCTAATCCATCAATGAAAATGTTAAACTCTCCGCTATCCTCTATAAACCAAGAATCGGCTTTATATATTGATCATTCAAAATCCAGAACCTTTATCTTTGTATTTCTCAATGCTTGAGAAAAATCAAACTCTGAGGAGATTGAGATATCTCACATCAATATACTTATTTTCCCAACATGCTTGTATGAAGCCATAATTCTCTTGAACTGGTAAGTGCTGATCACAAAATTATAAATGCATAGCTCATCTAAAACATTTCATCTGACTTTCATCAAAGAATTGGGCAGATGAAGGGGTGTAAAATATGAATCTGCGCCACAACAAATATCAAATCTGGCAACTTTATTAGGATATGAAGAGTTGATGAAATTCACAACATGCTTATTCCTCATCTTTGATTGGAAGAATTGAAATCTATCGATTTGAAACGATCCTAAAAATTTATTCTTCTTTGCATAATTTCTATTTTCTCTCTTTGAATAATCAAGGGATATCTCGAGAGGATTAACTTTTAACATCCGATGTAGGGAACAATTTTCATATTCCAATACGTGTTTAAAACACATGAAATAATAAGCATTCCTCAGTATTTTATCAACTCTATTACTTTCTGCTTCAACCAGATTCTCTCTCCTATAGATTAAGATTTGTAAATCAATTTGATTTATGAAATCCAAATCTAATCAGTTATCACCAAAATTTATGAATGGTTCATTTTAAGCTCTAAAACTCAGTTTCATAACTTAATTTCTTTGCATAAAATAACTATACAGTTGTATATAATCAAAGTTACCCTTAATTGCCTCTTATTTATAGAAATTAAACGTAGAACTGAAAAATTAGCGAGAAATATAGAATTTGCAGTATAAACTCCTCAGATTTCATCAAATAATTTGAATAGTGTCTACTCATTTTTTGACATCTCACATTATTGTGGTTTATTCAAAGGAAGATCTATTGAGCAGGGTAACTGCTATTACATATCCAAAAGAGGCTTAGCTTAGCTTGACTAAAAGCTAAAAACTTTTGAACTAAGTTGAATTTATCTTAGTGAAACTTTCATTTTAAAAAGGAGGACAAAATTTGTCCAACTGAACAAACTTCGAATTAAGCATACTCTAAAATCCGAGTCTTGTTTATCTGTTCTAGCTGGTCAGCATTTTCCATTTGTTATTATATTATTTAACCTCAATATTTGTACAAAGAAGTGGGGTTTTGGGGTTTTGGGGTTTTGGGG